AGATGCTCTAAAGTTTCACTGATAAACATTTTATTCCTTTATGTCCAAACCGTTAATTTAAGAGCACCACTATGGAAACGGATGTTGATGTTAAAGTGAGCTGAAAGTAGCACATAAAGTCCAGACGGACACATGTTTGCAGATCACTGAATGTGACTGGGACAGCTTTAGTCAACATTAATTGTGTGAGCAAGAGGCTGTGTGTGTTTAGGAGGACCCAGAGCAGCAGGCTTCTCACTAAGTGATACGTTGGTGGAGCCCATAGAGCAAAACACTGTATCGGTGTGCTACAAGAAAGTCATGTGACCGATACAGGAGTTGTTTCTAATTGACTGATTCGCTAAACTGTGTTTAAAAACATATCTGTCAACATGCATCTTCTAAAAAAAACAAAAGTCTCATCTTTTGCAGTTTATCATTAAAATTATCAAGAAATCTGGAGCAGCCTAAAAGGAATAGAAACATTAAAGCTGTTGCGTTTTTATTTTAATCATGTCATACATTTCCTCTCAGTTATGACTCAACTTATCTGAATTAAAGTTAATTTCAAACTGACTCTTAGTTTATTTACAGTTTTTACTGCACTTATAGTTTTAAAATTATGATTTAAAATCCTAGCGCACAAGCGTCCTTATTCACATTTTCCTCTACATTTTCACGTTATTTTTTATGTTTAGATTATTTTGGGTGCATATAAAAAAATAAAAGATATTTTCAATTGAAACATAGATATGAAATAATACAATATAACCTAAAATAATTTAAATTATACCATTGTACTAGATTATCAACAAGATTCAGTTTAGTGTGTCAAATAAGCTGCCTGTAGTGTCTTTAAGTGTCCAGCAGGTGTCAGTATTCAGTAAGACAGTATCAACGCAGCTTCATCACAGTTTAGCTTAAAGATGCCTCATTAACTTATCACTACTTCTCACCCTCCAGCAGGACTGCCTCCTCCGCTGTTTGTTGTTGTTGTAGCCCCCGCTCTGCGGCTCGGTGAAGGGGATGGACACGTAGTCCGGTCGGTTCGGGGCGTTCATGTCTGGAACCAAACGTTGGACACAGGAGGAGTGACGGAAAATCCCCCAAAACATTAGCATATGGATCAGAGTCAGCCACTTAAAACTAAACATTATTAAAATTACAGTTTGGACCCAATTACAGATACACACTGGCCTCTAAATATATATATATAAATATAAAGTAAAAATATAAAGTGAAGAACCCTTAGCATAAAGTTAGCATAGCATAGCTAGCTTTTTTTCAGCAGTTTAACTTGTTGCGCTTAGCTAGGAGTAAACCGAATATAACAAATATTACTGTAGTATTTACATCAGCAGCAGACAAAATAATGATTGTATCCATTAAAGCTTTGTCAGCATCAGCAGCTGACTAAATGTGGACCGAAGCACAGTCCGAGGCCTTCTCCCAGCGAGGGTAAACAAGGAGCTCTCTGTCAGCAGCTCAAACACCAGACCTACAGCAGTGAAACGTTACAGACCGACCGGGTTCCTGCCGATCTGACAGGGAAAGCTGCTCTGACAGAACACCGGAACAGCTCTTGGACAGACTTTACTTACCTTGACACCGAGCAGAGTCACATCAGGTGGAGGTTCAGAGGTAAACAGTCCGAAGTTGACTGGCTTTTCGGAGACCTGCTCATGTCTGGGGCTGTTCTAAGAAGAGAAGCTAACAGCGGGTTGGAAACAGATTCATGATGTCAAAGCGACGGTTCTCAGTGCTGACAGGATGGCATCCAGTGCAGCAGCAAAGGAAATGAAGCCATCAGACAGCGGAGGTCATGTGGGCCGTTCAAGGACCTGTACAAAAAACGGAACACTCATTGACTACAGTTGAACTGGGTTTGGACTGCTCCGATTGAGCTTCTTGAGTTAACAATATTTTTTATATATATATATTTAGCTTGGATGTTACATCCAGCCAGAAAAAAAAAATCATCTGATTTCTTAGATATGATTAATCTCTCCCTAGTCCACTAACCCACCCCCATTCAACAACTGTTTATTAACTAACTGGTCTTTTATTTTCAGTTTTCAATAGTTTCAATGTTGTTGCCTCGAACTTTTTGCGGTCATCATTCCTCACCATGGCCGGTTCTAGACAGGGGCCAACGGGGTCCAGTGCCCCTGTAGATCATGTCCTGGCCCCTGTACTGAAGACTTAATACTTAAAATAAATTCTAACGATTATATGTGCTGGAACAGACATGGTTACTGATAGATCCTTTGGATCTATTTCATTCTTTTTCTTTACAAATTCAGTTTTACTAATTATTCAAAAACAATAAGGTGATAGCTTCAATGGGATTGAGATAGGATCCCAGCTTTCATGTGCTAAATGTTTTTTTTTTCTAAACAAACTTTTTTTTTAAATACTCAAATTTTTACAGCTGAATTTATCAGTTTTTCTTGAGTTCTAATTCAGATTTTATAGAAAATGGTAATTTAAACTTAAATAAATAAAAAAAAAAATGCGTAAAATTCCTAAAATATAAATGTATATTGACCTCATAAGAAATAGAATTTTTATTGAACCTCATTGAAAAGAAATGTCACTTCATGCAGCTATATTAATATATTTGAACCCCTTGCCTTTTTTTATTTCATGCTTTTCCGGGGCCCCATGAAAACACTCTGGCCCCCCTCCTGGCCCCCTGGTAAATTTGGTCTAGATCCGCCACTGTTCCTCACCTTCACTAGACGTGGATATACTTTAGTACATTCTGCTGTAAAATTAGTCCTATATTTTTGTTATTTACTCGAGGATTGAACCTCTGCCGTTTCACAGGATGCACAGCTTTGAGTGGTAACTAGGTGACTGTCAGAGAGTAACCCAGAGAAACTTATCGGACTGATCCAATCAGCTCTCTGACAACCAGTCGCCTGGAACGCTGGTTGGACAGAGCATCGCTTTGGACAGATACACTGCACTGGTTTCACCAGCAACCTCCTCCTCACAACCTGCTCTCTTTTGTTGTCAATCGCAGTAGTTCTAATCTGCACATGATGCACGAATTTTTGTACTGCCCGCTCTCACTCACATGAAAAAACACCTCACATAGTCTAAAATCCGAGATAATTTATCCGACTTGTGGGCATCCTTGAACAACTATCTATATCAGGGAGACTCCGGTAACTTTCAGGAGACTTGGGTTGTCTGCTTTTAGGTAACTGTAATTAAATCTTTTCTTAGGAAATCTTTTTCTGAGCCATTGGACCTACTTCTAACATTCATTTCTTATCTAAAATTCTTGAACAGTTTCATTCAAATTTTAGAGCTCATCATAGCACTGAAACAGCTCTGGTGAAAGTCACTAATGATATTCTCATAGCTGGTTCTGTTAGATCTTACGCCTGCATTTTATAAAGTTGATCAAAGTATACTTTTAAAAAGGTTTTAAATAGGGGAGCAGCACTATACTTTTAAATCTTAATTCCTCAACAGATTTCAGTTGGTTAATGTTGATAACATCTTAACGCTCCAGGGTTATCTGTGGAGTACAGGGATCAACACTAGGGCCAACTTTCATGACTGTATATATAAGCTTCCAATTGAAATTATCTGACAGCATGGGATTCATTTCAGGTTATGCTGTTGATACTTATAGGATATAAAAATCCCTTTATTGTCCCATAAATTCAGATTGATTTGACCTGTTACATCAACTACTGACCCCTTACATCATCTACAGGCATATCTGCATTCAATTGGCCCCCAACAGTAACGTAAAAAAGCAAAAACAAAAAAACTTGGTGTTATGTTTGATCAGCATTTGTCATTGAGATCCTAAATTTAAAAAAGTTTCTATAATATGTTTCTATAATCTCTGAAATAATAAATTATAAATAAATTTATAATGATAAATCATCACACATCTGTAACTTCAAGGCTGGACTATTGTAATTCTTTACTATCAGGATGTCCATAAACTGTTGTCAGGGGCAGATTTAGGAAATTTGGGGCCCTAGGCAAATAAGGCAGGGGGGTTTTGTCTCTCTCTTCTTGTCCCTTTCCTTCTTGTTTTCCTCTCTATGTTTTGTACTCAGCTGACTTTTCATGCTGTCTCTAAAGGAATGAAAGATTTTTTCCAAGCACTAAGCTCACTTAGCTGATTGCTCCCTCCTGTGTTTCCAAAAAGGCCAAAGTAAATAACCCAGTCCTTCTTTTCACTGTAGACAAGCCATGATCTGCTTATCTGTTCTCCATTTTTCATTTGGATGAAATAATAGCTGCATGAATCATGACAGCAGACAAGATAGAGGAGAGTAGGAGGCGGGGTTACCAATCTACTTGCTCTGGAGAGCAGAGTTCGCTGCTTCTAGATGTTGTTGCCAAAGTCTCCAGTAAAAGAAAAAAGTCATTAGATTTGGCGCTAGGAGCTTTTTAGAAATGAAAGTGCTAGAGGGGTCTAAAAAGTCGCTAAATATAGCGACCAAAGCGCTAAGTTGGCAACACTGCTCTGTGCATCGTTTGTTTTCAAATGGTTTGGTGCTGTCTGTTTGGACCTTTCTGAACATTTGTAGCAAATGGACTGATCCAATATGGTGGACACACTTAATATTCTAAGCGTTCTGATGGCATTTTAGTGAAAGGATTTTTATCAAAAACATGATTAATGTGCACAAATAAGGACTGTAGTTAAAAGCTTGTAATATTCTCAGTCATCCAGGTCACAGTCAGTAAAAAAAAAAAAAAAAACTTTGTTTCCAAGTTTGAAGGCGTTTTGCTTCCCATCCAATAAGCTTTTTTAATTCAAAATATCAGAACTAGCGTTGAGTTGTAGTTAAAACCCTTCAGCTGATCCAAAATGCCGCTGCCAGAGTTTTGGTAAAATTTACAATGAGGAATCATATTTAAACTAAATTATCTGCACTTAATTTTCTCTTTTTAAAACAATTTATAAACGCAAGGTATTGATATTATCTTCATTCCTCAAAGCAGCTGGGAGGTGTGGATGAAAGCAGGCAGCAGGTGGCAGCACTGCGACATTCCTTTGGTCTGTGTGCCCAACCCGAAGAAGAGGGAGGAGAAGAAGAAGAAAGAAAACAACAAACGTAAGTCTGACCCGGAATAACAAGATGGCAGGAAATGGGGGATTACAGGTATTGAAAACAGACAAAAAAACTAATTTTATTTAATTTTGCTCAGATTTCCATGAAGGTTTTGGAAGAAGCGGTCCATTAAAATATCCGAATGGATTCTGTTGGAGGATTTAAAACACGCAGAGATTTTCTGTGGACATCAGAGCATAAACGCTTCAAAGTTTAGCTTTTTGCTAACACTTTGATTTTCACCAATATTTTTTACAGTTTTATCGACAGGAATAATTTTGTTAGGTTAATAAAATGTGTTTTTGACTGAAATAAACGAGAGCTTCTGATGCTTTAGCTCGTTTGGATCAGTTTAATGATCGAACTCTGAAGACTGAGAAATAAAGGGTTTATTGGAGATATTCATGAAAATGCCGATGATAGAAATTTGTATTTTTATTAATATATATGTACCCTCCATAATGGGTCTGCCATATGTTCTAGCTACAAAAGATTTGTGCTTTGATTCATAATAGAGGACAGGGTTCGGTCTATAGATCTAAATCAGGGGTTTCTTAACCCTGGCCCTCAGGGGCCACCGTCCTTCATATTTCACATGTGTCTCACTCAAACGCTGCAAAAACCTGATGATTACCTTTTCATTCAGGTCAGGTGTGTGAAGGCAGGACATTGGGCCCCTGAGGGCCAAAGTTTAGAGACTCTGATCTAAATGACCTTCAGGCATCTGTTCATCAGACTGAACTGGACCTTTAATGATCACATCCAAGCTTTTAAAAGATGCTTTCTCTCTGCATTCATCTGGTTCTGTCTGTCTGAGCTCACCTGCTGTTTTATTTTAAATGGAAATCATTGGTGATCATCGGTGTGGTTATTTTGGGGCCTTTTGTTTTACCACTATCACTGCTTTATACAAAAATTTCTTCTGTGGAGGCCTGTTCAGCCAAAGTTCTGTAGAACCTGCTTTTTTTGTGGACCAGGGCAGAAGTGGAAGATAAAAAGTAGTTTGCAGACCCCATTGATGGATAGAGGGATGCTTTATTGTCGCTGCTGTAACACAACACAAAACAAGCCTGTTAAATCATAACGTGATTCGTATTGACCTGAACCAGGTTCCATCTACTTGACAAAATGTCCTCATGCTTGGTTCTAAGAAGCCTATCCTGTGATCTCACTGAGGAGCACAGACGACCACTAAAGCTTGTACTCTGGTAGGTAGGGTTGTCATCAGGCTAAAACTTTAAAATCTATTTCAATACCCAATAAAATAATTGTTACTCGATACCATGGAGATGGAAAAGTAAAAAATACTAAAGCTGAAACTAACAATTATTTTGCAAATCGATTAACCTGTTATTTTTTTCAGTGTATCAATTAATAATCAGATAGCCAATGGTTCCTTAAATAAGACCTTTTTACGAAATTAAACCAGGTGAAACTAAATATTTTCTGGATGGAGCAGATTGTCAGACGAAAAAGTTATGTGAAATGCAAAATGTTTTGGACACTTTTTCTTTTACAATCTTTGTATAATTACTGCTCTCAGTGGGTCGCTCTGTCAGCTAAAGGCATGTTTTAAAGTCTCTCTACTCCAGTTAACATTTGATCAATTAATAAATTAGTTGACGATTATTTAAATAATTGATGAATCACGATTACCCGGTTTGACCCCCACTGCCTGCACTCTGGGTCTCTGAGCAAAGACCCTTAAGCCTGCACTGCTTCCCGAGCGCCGCACAATGGCAATGGCTCCCTAAGAGGATGGATTAAATGCAGAGGTAAATTTTTCCAATGTGAGATCAATAAAGTTCAGTTATTATTAATCAGATTGTTTCACCCCTACAAAAATATTTTTATCTATATAAAAAAGTCCCCATTTTCAATCTCAACATGGAACAGGCTTTGCCAACAGAGTCACAGACGCTAGTTAAATAAGGGTGCAAATAAATGCAGAAAGTATCATCCAAATTTAACATTATTTGACAATATTTTAAGTTTACCTCAATGTATTATTTTAATCTGCCTGTAATTAAAATGTATAATTAAAATTAACAATAGCAAATATTTGCAAGGAACACCCTTTAGTATTGAAATTATGTCAAATTAGTGATGGATCCAGATGCAACTTCTTATTATTGATATTTATTGGAGTATTTTTTGACAACCCCAGTGGTAGAGTTATTATTAGTAATATCTATGTTAATATTTGAATAGCTGCCCCAGAGCACAGATTTACACGGCATCTATTCAGAAGGTTGGTTGGGATCCCTTTTTTTTTTTTGGCTTTAGTCGCCCTTATTTTTGTTACTTTTTGGAAGGAGGCAGACCAGAAAAAGGGAAGGGGGCGAAGACAAAACGCAAAGATCACCAGGTCGGGACTCAAACCTGTGACGGCTGTTGAGGACTCCATCCTCTGTAAAGGAACCTTACAGTTTTTGGTTCTATTGTTTGGGTCTCAGAATTTTTTGTAAGACTGAGAAACATGTGACCGACAGAAGCTTCACTCTGAACCAAACCCTTCTTTAGCTCCTTCAAATGTTGAGCATGTGCTCTGTTGGTGTCTTAGCAATAAAACTTTGGGTTTTTTTGTCAGGGATTGCATACTTTGCTGTAAAAGGGCACTGGATGGGGGGGGGGATTCACATGATGCGCTGCCCAGAGGCCTGCAGGCAGTTTGGATGCGATCAGGCTGTCCATGCACAGGTTTACAGTTTTTATTATTTTGTGCAGTGCCCAGACTGTCCCTAAACTACCAGTGCGACTTCTCCTCTAAAACTCATTCACTGCAAACAGGCTGGAGCCTCTTCAGATACAAACACACTTATAGACTAGAAGTATATAAACTAGACACATAATGTGTGGCAGGTGATCAGAGGCGGAAGTTTTAGAAAAGTTTGTTACTATTGAGACGCCTTCCTCACATCCAGCCGGTGTTGGTCATGCTGGGACTGTTGGTCAGACGTCCGTAGGTCTGAGGGGAGACCAAGGTCTGCATGTTCAGCCACTGTGGGCCGTTCTTATTGTTGATCTGTTAAGTTATTGAAATATCTCTCCACATTTCTCTGATGGTTGTTCTTCTGAAGGTTGCGTGATTGTTGCTGTCCGTCTGGTGGCGGCCGTCCCTCTGTTTGTTGCTGTATCTCTGATGGTTGTTCTTCTGAAGGTTGCGTGATTGTTGCTGTCCGTCTGGTGGCGGCCGTCCCTCTGTTTGTTGCTGTATCTCTGATGGTTGTTCTTCTGATGCTTATAGCTCTAGTGTTGTTTTCCCCCCTGCTTGTTTGTTCTCTGATGGTGTTTTTTTTCTGATTCTTGTTCTTCTGATGGTTACATGATTGTTGCTCTCCATCTGGTGGCTGCCATCCCTCTGTTTGTTGCTGTATCTCTGACGGTTTTTGTCTGTTTGATGGCTGTAACCTTCCTCTGGAATACTGTAGTGCTGCGTACTGACTGCTCATCTCTGTTGGCAGGAATCAGGCCTGTAACTCCGACTTCAGCATCTTGAGCAGCTAGACGACCGCGGGGTGCTCTGCCACCATCAGCATGAACCTCCAACAGCCCGGCCCTCTCATCCCCGCCCCCGTTCATCCTGATGTTGAGATGAAGCCGCTGCCCTTCTACGATGTGCTGGACGTCCTCATCAAGCCCTCAAGCTTAGGTCTGTTGTTTCCAGGTTTCTTTTTACCCAACAGGAGATAAACAACTTTATTCCTGACTGGAGCTCTAAGTCTGACAGGTCTGATCTGATTAAGGATGTTGGGACCCAATATTGATGCTTTTATTTTGAAACTAGTTTTAAAGTGTTGGATTGCACTGCAAAAAAGGATATAGATCTAAGTAAAAATGTCTTTAAAATAAACACATCCTTAATTTTAGAAGATAAAATGATCTGCATATTGAATGAGTTCTAATATTATGCACTAGATATAGGATAATAGTTTTTTCTTATTTGTAAATAGTAAATCATCTTACAAATTGTCTTGCATACCTGCTCAAAACAAGGGAAAAAAACATATTTCAAGCAAAAACAGTTAAAATAAACTTTTGGCAGTAAATAAACTAGATGTTAAAGTTTACGCTGCATGTATTTTAGTATTTGTGTCCCGTGTTTTAACTCGCCTTCTGATGTTGATTAGTTGGAAGTTTAGGTTGGATCAGCAAACTGCTCTTCAACATATATTAGAGGTCGACAGTTACAGGTGTTTTAAGACTGATAGTGATTATTTTAAATCATGAATCGATCCACAATGGTAACGCTGTTGCTGGGTTAGTTTTCGCCTGTTTTTGGACCCGATGTTGCTTGTTTTCCCTTCACCTACTGATAAAATTGGTAACAAAAATGACACACGCCTTAATTTAAAAACGGAAGGAAACATTTATAAAGTAATGAAACATGGAAGGTGATTTTAAAGGCACGGCTGCAAACAATCAGAACTCGTGCGTGTTTGAACCAACGCTGATGAAAGAATTGATATCGGCCCAAAATGTCCGCCGGCCAATGCATCAGTCTGATTTACCGAATGACTGCTCAATGTTTCCAGGAGCGAGTACTTCACAGAGGTACCACCAAGAGAAATACTTCATTTTCGCGCTGACACCACAGCAGGTCAGAGAAATCTGCATCTCCAGGTACGCTCAGGTCATCTCCATCTTGTCTCTGTGGAGGTCTTGGACTATTTTTAAAAAAATGCTGCTTCTTCTGTTTTCCAGGGACTACCTGCCAGGCGGCAGGAGGGATTACATGGTTCAAATTCAGCTAAGGTCAGCGCTCCACACCCTTCTGTTCATTTTATACTGATCAACGAAAGAGATGAATGTATTTAGATTCCTGGTTCCTACAGGCAGACATTGGTAGTATTTCAGCTGCTCCCTAGAAACGAAAAATAAACATTGATCAATAGTTTTTAAAGTTCAGATCCAGAAGTAATGGTAAAGGTGGAAGACGCTGCGCAGAAAGCGGAGGTTAATCTGCCTTTAATCCAACACGTCACAATAAGAATCTCAGGTTTTTCATCTGATAATCATCAAACTCTGAATTTTACCACAAGGCAGTTTGGTTTTAAAATATTTAATTAATTTTTAGAACCAGTACAACAATCAGCAGGGAACATGTTAATGATTCATGTTTTAAATTTATCTGGCTGAGGTTTGTGTTTCAATTCAGTTCAGTCAAGGCACTTTACAGAGAAAATTCAACCAGATCATCCAGTCAGATTGATTCAAAGTTTTCTATCTAAGGAAAACCAGTTGATTGCATCGACTCATTGACTCGAATGCAATCCCTCACACACAACATGCTTATAGCGACAATGGAGAGGAAAACTCCCTTTTAACAGGAAGAAACCGCCAGCAGAACCAGGCTCAGTGTGAGCGGCCATCTGCTGAGGCCGACTGGGGTTCAAGGAGACAGAAGCAGAGATACAAAAGGCAACCGTAAACCAGCTCCATAGACGGCCCCATCCAGGAAACACACAGCCAGGCAGATGAGCTCCAAGCCAGCTTCCATGTCAGAGGACGAAGAGAGCACATCCAGCCAGTCACAGTCAGAGAAACAGGACTACACTGAAAAATAGGCTGAGCTAAAATATCTAACAGGATCAGATGAAGCTACTATGAGAAAAAGCAGAGAGAGCAGAACGTTAGAGATTGATCTAACAAATTCTGCAGAATAGGAGAATAGAGATAGAATGAGGAAAAGGGGTCCCCATGTCCTCCAGCAGTCTAAGCCTATAGCAGCATAACTATAGAGATAGCTCAGGATAACCTGAGCCACTCTAACTATAAGCTTCATTACCCCTTTTTTTTAGAAAAGAACTTTGGGGTGAACATTAAACGTTTCCAAAGCATAATTAATGAATTATAGCCTGAGAAGAAGTGTTTATAATCTAAAAGATCCAACCTGTGATAACAGATGAAGATTTTGGATTAATTCATCCCTTTTGCTGTAATGATAACTGAGCTTCATTCCCTGAGATTGATTATATTTGATTAAAACATAATCTGTGGGATTAGATTAGATTGGATTAGATGAATGTCAGCATATTACCCGAATCTGACGCATTAAGTGCCTTGATGATATTTATTGTAATTAATCATGATGCTGATGCTGAATTAAACTTTTTTTTAATATTACAGTATTCTTTAGGTTTAGCTTCTGATCAGGATTCATATAAGAAAATCTTTCACCTTCCAGGTTCTGCTTGGCGGAGACTAGTTGTCCTCAGGAGGATAATTTCCCCAACAGTCTTTGTTTAAAGGTCAACGGGAAGCTTTTCCCTCTACCTGTAAGTTCTTCCTCTCCACCCCTGCAGGAATATTAACACTAAAGTTTCTTGGAAGAGAAAAAAAAAAAAGAAAAGGCTCCCATCTTCTCTTTCTGCAGGGCCTGGCCCCCCCACCGAAGAACGGAGTTGAACAAAAGAGAACAGGAAGACCTCTAAACATCACCAGCCTGGTGCGGCTCTCCTCCGCCGTGCCAAACCAGATCTCCGTGACGTGGGCTCCAGAAATCGGAAAGGTGAAGGCTCCGATTCTGAGGAACTGACAGAACCTGAACTTCAGTGTCTCAGTTTGGGAAATATAAATGAAGCCAATTTAAGTTAAAGCTGTTTTAATGTATAAATTTCTCTTTACATTTCTAAATATCGAGAAAGCAGGAAAATATACAGGTGCTGGTCATAAAATTAGAATATCATGAAAAAGTAGATTGATTTCAGTAATTCCATTTAAAAAGTGAAACTTGTATATTATATTCATACATTACATACAAACTCATATATTTCAGATGTTTATTTTGTTTAATTTTGATGATTACAAATGACAACAAATGAAAATCTCAAATTCATCATATCAGAAAATTAGAATATTACTGAAGACCAATAAAAACAAAGGATTTATAGAAATGTTGGCCAACTGAAAAGTATGAACATGAAAAGTATGAGCATGTACAGCACTCAGTATTTAGTTGGGCCTCCTTTGGCCTGTATTACTGCAGCAATGCGGCGTGGCATGGAGTCGATCAGTCTGTGGCACTGCTCAGGTGTTATGATAGCCCAGGTTGCTCTAATAGTGGCTTTTAGCTCTTCTGAATTGTTGGGTCTGGTGTATTGCATCTTCTTCTTCACAATACCCCATAGATTTTCTATGGGGTTAAGGTCAGGAGAGTTTGCTGGCCAATTAAGAACAGGGATACCATGGTCCTTCAACCAGGTACTGGTAGCTTTGGCACTGTGTGCAGGTGCCAAGTCCTGTTGGAAAATGAAATCTGCATCTCCAAAAAGTTGGTCAGCTGCAGGAAGCATGAAGTGCTCTAAAACTTCCTGGTATGTGGCTGCGTTGACCCTGGACCTCAGAAAACACAATGGACCAACACCAGCAGATGACATGGCACCCCAAACCATCACTGACTGTGGAAACTTTACACTGGACTTCAAGCAACGTGGATGAAGTGCCTCTCTTCTTTTCCTCCAGACTCTGGGACCTTGATTTCCAAAGGAAATGCAAAATTTACTTTCATCAGAGAACATGACTTTGGACCACTCACCAGCAGTCCAGTCCTGTTTCTCTTTAGCCCAGGCAAGACGCTTCTGACGCTGTCTGTGGTTCAAGAGTGGCTTGACACAAGGAATGCGACAGCAGAAACCCATGTCTTTCATACGTCTGTGTGTGGTGGTTCTTGAAGCACTCACTCCAGCTGCAGTCCACTCTTTGTGAATCTCCCCCACATTTTTGAATGGGTTTTGTTTCACAATCCTCTCCAGGGTGCGGTTATCTCTCTTGCTTGTACACTTTTTTCGACCACATCTTTTCCTTCCCTTCGCCTCTCTATTAATGTGCTTGGACACTGAGCTCTGTGAACAGCCAGCCTCTTTAGCGATGACCTTTTGTGTCTTGCCCTCCTTGTGCAAGGTGTCGATGGTCGTCTTTTGGACAACTGTCAAGTCAGCAGTCTTCCCCATGATTGTGTAGCCTATAGAACTAGACTGAAAGACCATTTAAAGGCTTTTGCAGGTGGTTTGAGTTAATTAGCTGATTAGAGTGTGGCACCAGGGGCCATCAATTTTGAACCTTTTCACAATATTCTAATTTTCTGATATGATGAATTTGAGATTTTCATTTGTTGTCATTTGTAATCATCAAAATTAAACAAAATAAACATCTGAAATTTATGAGTTTGTATGTAATGTATGAATATAATATACAAGTTTCACTTTTTAAATGGAATTACTGAAATCAATCTACTTTTTCATGATATTCTAATTTTATGACCAGCACCTGTATATTGTTTTTTTAAAACCGTAGGAATAAAAACATGAAAAATAATTAAGTTAAAAAATGGATATATCATTATAAAAAACTTGCCTCTCAGTAGAATAAGATGTTGGTTGAATAAGTGTCCAAATACATGTACAATGAATAACCCAAATACAGCACTGTTTGACCATATTTAAAGGTTATCTGTGGTTAATTATTTGATATGAACATAATCTAGAAATCTAAAATTAACAGCAGAACTATTCAAACTCATGTGAGTGTCTGTATCTGGATAGGACTTTTTAGTATCGATACCTTTCATAGATATTCTTGTCCATGCTATAGACTTGTTTATGAAAGTACTTTATTAAAGCACAGCCATAGAAAGTTGAGTGGAAGGACAAAGTGTGTTAGGAATGGGCAGCAGCAGGGCTAACTGCAGCCCTGAATATCAACAGAAATCCATTCAGCTTTAAAAGAACAAGTCAAAATGAACCAAGCAGCTAAAATTAAAGGTTTATTTTGGAACCTAAAGAAACAGGATGTAGGAATACTTTCTATGTAATGTGTGAAAAGGTTTACTCTGTCTGCTCAAACGTTCTCCTTAAGCCCCTGTCACATCTTGCAGGTTTAGCCAGCGTCTGCCTGATGTCCCCGAATCTCCTAAAACGCTAGCATACGGTGAAATTTCTATGTGTTTTTTCAATTTTGGGCGAATACATAGAGTATTCATAACGAGTCCAGAACCTCTGTCCAACGGCAGCCTAACTTATGCATCACGCACGGCGGCGTAATGCCCATGAAATGATGCACAAGCCAGTGTAATAAGATGTCTTTCATCACAGTATTAACCTAGTTGCTGTTTACCGCCCGCCGAAAAAAAGAATAAATGACAAGAACAAGGTTTTCAGTGGCAGCAGATTGAGCGCCATGTCTGCTAGGAAGTTTGTGGTTGGTGGGCGTGAACCCAGGGAGGATCCATCACTCTCACCTTCTCTCTCACCCTATGATGGGGATGAAGTCTGGAGGAGAACTGACGGTTTCCTCCTGTGAACCCCCTCTATACCAAAATGCTGCCAATACGCCTTTATACAGTAGCTAAAGGTTAGAAACACATTCAAAGCTCGTCTGGAACACGTCAGATACTTTGATATGTGTTGGAGAGAAGTTCCGGGTAACCATATGTTATGCAGAAGTTACTCTGAGGTTTAGGATAAGCTAGACGCCATGACTGACACTGAACTTATGTCAACAATCGGATAACTTACCTGTAACTAATGCCCCAAGCATGGCACACGCTGAAATACGGGATTAAATTTTCTGACGTACTTGCTGTAGTTGATGTGTGCTGGTGTGTTTCAGCTTGCTTCAGCGTGCTCAGAACTTATCCAACGTTTGCCCTTATATCAAGCACACGCTGGTCTAAATCATCAAGGTGTGACAGAGGCTTTTGATGGAGACTTCAAACCTTTAAACTTGACTGAATGATCTGATTGAACCATTTTTATAAAGATAACATGTTGTGAATTCGTACCATATAAATACACTGAGCTAAGCTCACTGAGGATTCTATTTATTTCTCTTTCTGAGATTAGTTTCTAAAACTTTTCAAGATGAGTTTTTAGATGAACCTGAACAGATCTACTCTGACAATGAAAGGCTGTGCCAAGATTTCCTTCCAAATAACCGACTCCTCTCTAGTCCAGGATCCTGCATACCTTTTTAAATGGTCACATTTATCTCACGGCTTCTTTGTTCGAAGAGATTAATCATTGGTTGGTGTTTTTTCAGACCTATTCCCTTTCTGTGTACCTCGTGAGGCAGCTTACATCACCATTGCTCCTGCAGAGACTAAGGATGAAGGGAATCAGGAGTCCAGACCACTCCAGAGCACTAAGTAATTATTTACCTTCTGTTATTATTATTATTATTATCATCTTTTTCCATATAATTCTGTAGATTACACATTTTTATTTTCATAAGTCCTACACTTGAAACCTGCAGCAGTTAAAACCGTTGTTACTTTTAATTTAACCGGAGTTACTGTGCTGACAACATCCTGTCAGCCGCAGAAGAGAAACAAAAAACAAACATGTCAGGAATTCACTCTAAGCATTCGATTAGCCAAATAAAAAAACAACTAGCAGGAAGAACATCACTGCATTTAAAAAAGAGAAGGAAACAGACACAAAATGGTCTAATTCAAGCTGTGTTGGAAGGATTTTCTTCATTCAAACCTAGTGTTTAAATAAATGACCACATTTGTTGGTTCTTGGAGACAATTGTCCATTTTAGTCTCAGTCCTCTCACTTATATGTTCCCTTATATGGCATTATTGGGGCGGCCATTATGTAGCTTTGTTTCTCGGGAACGCACGCTCATTCTGTCTGATCATTTACTGAAGCTAAAATAGTTTTTTGAATCTGATGTTACACGTTTGTAAAAAGCTACTTTAGGAGGAAAAACTTTAAGACATTAAGGGGGAGTGTTGACCTAGTGGGGTATCCCCACCCTGCTCCCCGGGCGCCGCACAGTGGCAGCCCACTGCTCCCCAAGGGGAGGGGTTAAATGCAGAGGTAAATTTTCTCCAATGTGAGATCAATAAAGTTCAATTTCATTTAATAGGAAAATGTTGTTGCATGAGACCCGTTGTTACACACAGCTTTTTAACGATTTAGAGATGATTTATTTCTCTATTCATTTGTTTTATTTCTCTATTCATTTGTTTTTTAGCTCTAATATCTGATCAAAGGCTTAAAAGATATAAACGAATAAAAAAATACAAGAAGATTCCTTGGAAAAGCTTTTAGAACAATTAACATATTCTCTATTACCCTGTTTTTTTGTTCAGTTAAGGAGAAGTTAACTGCGGATCCAGACAGTGAGATCGCCACGACGAGTCTCCGGGTGTCACTTATGTGTCCGGTAAGTAAAAACGTCCCTGAACCTTTGAACAGGTCTGGATGAGGCCCCTGCTGAGGTCATAGAAACCCCAGCAGCTAAAAGTTTGTTTAAAACTGGAAGTAAAGCAGAAATACTCACAAAGGGAACCTGAAGATTGGAGCTCAAACTTTTATCCTCTTTGGGTATGAAGGATGTAGATCCATTCCAAGAAACAGGTCTCACTGGCCTCTTTGTACAGATTTTTTTATATCTACAGGAAACATATTTCAGGACATTACAAGTTTTTATATGCTCTTTTGTACTATATACACTCTTTATACATTATCTGTTGTATTTTTTGTCTTTAATATCATCTTGCTTTAACTCTGCCCTTTATGCTCTATAAAAGCTACTGGAACCAGAATTTCCCTGAAGGAGTAATCTTAAGGAATAAATAAAGTGGAGTCTCGGTAGATTTGTGTATTGCCAAAAATAGCGACTTTGCTATATTCAGGTTTTAACACAACTGTACGGAATTCAGTTGTATTTAGGTCTAAATAAGTTATTCCAACATATTTTTTGTGTAATATTGTCACATTTGTGCAGTTCTTTCCCTCTGCGGGACGCCATTTCTCCTCTTTGAATGAGTTTGCAAAGTATTCTGGGAATCCATTTCATTCCCAAGTCAGCTCCTGACCTCACTCGGTCTGAAGGGATCATTTTAAGGGGTTGGAGGGCACTTCGCCATAGCTCTTATAACTATTGGGACACACTAACCTTAAACGTGAATGAGCAAAACTGATTGCTAGGGTCCAAAACGAGTGCAAGTGAGAGAAATGAGACTGGGCCTTAGTGTCTTTGGGCTCCTCCTGAATCAACTCTTTGTTATTTTAAATAAAGAGCAAAGAAAAAAAATGTAAAGCAGAAGGTTTTGGTCCAAAAAAGGGCAGCAGAATTTTCGCCTTCTGTCTCTCAAACGCAGCCCGGTGGTTCTGGTTGACCTTCTCTCTGCTCTGTGTTGTAGCTGGGGAAGATGCGCCTGACGGTCCCATGCAGAGCCGTGACCTGCTCTCATCTGCAGTGCTTTGATGCTGCCCTCTACCTGCAGATGAATGAGAAGAAACCCACCTGGATCTGCCCTGTCTGTGACAAAAAGGCTGCGTACGAGAATCTCATCATCGATGGGTTCGTTCAGAAAATATAGTCCATTGGTTTTTAGCTCTGTGAATCACTTTTTCACTTCAACTCATAGGATTAAAAACAGTCCCCTTTATCTTTAAACTGATTCCAAAGAGATTACATAAGCAGTCATCATGGTTAAGTTGATGACTAGCACCAATTTAAAAAGACGTCATCTTAAGGCTCTTTACTGAGAACTGGATTGAGCCATCTAGTCTGACTGGTTAAAAGGAACCCCAGCTGATTTCATCCAGTCTTATCTTTGCTGGATTCTCTCCTCCTGGATGAGCAGGTTGAGACTATTGATATTCACTTGGATTGTGTCGTTGATTCTATAGCAATCCCTCACACTGAGCATACATGCAGCAACAGTTGAGAGAGAAACTCTCCTTTAATAGGTAGGAACAACCAGCAGAACCAGGCTCACTGGGGCTCTGATCTGCTAATACTTTATGTTCGAGAAGGTAACTGTAAATTAGCTCCACCGGTGGCTCTGTCTATGAAAGAAACAGTTAAAGGAATAGTACACCCAAAACATGATTAGCCTTCATTTTCTACTCACCCCCATGCTGAACAACACTCTGGAGTACTTTTTTGATATCTCAAATGCATCTGGAGATCTGGGAGGCTTCTTGCTGTCTGCTGACATTCAAATAATGGAGGTCTATGGCGCCCGAGGCAGAAAGGTCCATAAAAGTCCACAAAAAAACGTGTCAATATTCCTCCATACTGCTCGTTCAATGTATTCCAAGTGTCCTGAGTGGGTAGCATCCAGAATTTACTCGAAACGAAGTCATTTAGAATGTTTTTAGAGCATAAACAGTAGTGTATAAGATTTCCTGAAAGCCCGTTCACGAGCCTACGGAAACGGCGGCAGAACAAACCAGATGAAAGTGCGCATTCAGCTCGGCAAAGAACTCATGCTCTTCCTCAACACTGAAGTCCTCAGACATTTTTCTTTCGTTGTTTCTTTCTTTGCACAGGTAAACAGCACATTTCTTCTTCTACGCTTGCATTATCGGCAGAGCAGACGCTGAATGCGCACTTTCATCTGGTTTGGTCTGCCGGCTTCCGTAGCGTCCTGAACGCGCAGGCGCGCGCTTTCAGGAAATCCTATACACTACTGTTTATGCTCTAAAAACATTATAAATGACTTCGTTTTGAGTAAATTATGGACGCTACCCACTCAGGACACTTGGAATACATTGGACGAGCAGTATGGAGGAATATTGACACGTTTTTTGTGGACTTTTATGGACCTTTCTGTCTCGGGCACCATAGACCTCCATTATTTGAATGTCAGCAGACAGCAAGAAGCCTCCCAGATCTCCAGATGCATTTGAGATATCAAAAAAGTACTCCAGAGTGTTGTTCAGCATGGGGGTGAGTAGAAAATGAAGGCTAATCATGTTTTGGGTGTACTATTCCTTTAAGCAGATGATGACGTTTTCATGTCAAAAGTGATTAAGAGGGAGCACATCCTGTTCGTCACTGAGCCCATAGCTATGGCTAGGACAGAAATGGGACTAAACACTGAAAAACAGGCCAGACTCTCGTCTATAGCTGATGTTTCTTTCTAGGATGGAGTCACAGCAAAATGGGACCAGACCAGATGAAGCTACTATAACAAGAAAAAACAGAGACAACATGGAACTACCAAATACTGTAGAGTGGAGGAATAGAACGATGAAAAAGGGGTCTTTATGTCCTCCAGCAGTCTAAGCCTATAGCAGCATAACTATAGAGATAGCTCAGGATAACCCAAGCCCCTCCAACTATAGGCTTTATCAAAAAGGAAAGTTTTAAGCCTAGCCTCAAAAGTAGACAGGGTGTATGACTCAGACTAAAACTGATAGTCGTGAGTCCAGGGCCAAGGGGGACCAGGGACAAGTCTGTGGAAAAGAGAAGTCTAAAATAGTCCATATTACAGGCTCTAGAACCTTACAATTCCTGGATCAGAACCTCCCAGACTTGAGAGGAAATCAGTGGTGGCGTAGTTTATCCACCTCCCTTTGCTCTATAGAGATGCTCTGCAAAAAAAGGAATTCTAAGTAATTATTTCTTGAAAAAAGCTAATTTTCCACTTGATTTAAGCAATTAAGTAAAATAATTTGCCAATAAAATACGGTCATTTGGATTTAAAGTACCGTAAGAAAAAATGAATCTATTTTTTATGCATAATACCTAATTACTTTATTTTAAGGCCAAAAATTCTAATTCCATTGGCAAATCGAACACGTGTTGCACTTAAAGTGTTAAATTTTTTATTCTCTAAATGTTCATGTTTATCTTTTCTGTTCAATATTTATTTTATCCAATGGTTTTATTTAACTCTAAATGTTTAACTTACTGGTAAAACACTTTTTTTAGTTTTAAATGGACTATAGAAATAAACTTTAATTTAGATTTATAAGAATAGATAAATCTATCCAAGATTAGAGGTACATAACGTAAATATTTATGTCTACATTTGACTTCCTTCTCAGTTTGTTCTTGGAGATTCTCAACGACTGCTCAGATGTTGATGAAATCAAGTTTCAAGAGGATGGAACCTGGTGCCCAATGCGGCCGAAGAAGGACACAGTGAAGGTCTCTGTCCATTCGGTGGGAAAAGTAGAAGGTAAGAACATTTCTAGGTTAATACTTCTATAGGATTCTATGAAACCCTTCATCCTGAACTTTGCTTCACATCGAGTTTCAGTATATTTATGATAAACCTTCACTATCATTCTTAATTGACTGGTTTTTGAGTTATAGAAATATATTTTTAGAATTTCTTTGGATATAACCTTTTAAAGAATAGCAGCCGCTTACTCCCATCTAGATCTGTGTTAAATGAATAATAGACGACCGAGAAACACGCTCTGGTGCTTCGCTGTTCAGCACTAAATAACTACGGAGGCCTCTGGGGGTCATAAATGTGAGCATATCCTGCGGGAGTTCAGGGTTCCCATCAGGTGATGAGGTACAGATCCATAAATGGTTCTGTTCTTTTATTAGTTGCGATAAATTATAAGCTGAGAATTTTTATCTTGTTTCATATTAATTTATATCAGCTTATTTATCAAAGGTGGTGGATGATGTATTCTTTATTGTTTAGCTCTAGAATGCTTGCAGCTCTAGCATGACCAGAAAGTGGCATTACTTTGGCCTTTTCTTGACATCAGCTGCCATAAATTTTTGACAAAATCGACTAAAAAAGCGGTGAAACATGGAAAATCTCTCAGAAACACAGCTAACAGAAACGTACGGTGGACTTCTGGTCTGACATCTGAGAGGAATAAAGGGTAATTACTGTAGCAGCAGAGCTTGTTCTAAGTATGCTAACAAACAAGCTAGCTGTCTCTGCTGGGAGGACAGTTTGCTGGATGACATTGCCCTGTTTCTAACACTTGGAGCTGTTACCAACTGGACGGTCTTTAGGGGCAGGCTTGTTTTGTTTTGTTTTTAAAAAAAAGATTTTTACGTGGCCTGTTTTTTGTACAGTAGGCTGATGGGGAAGGGGGTACGAGGGAAAGAGACATGCGGCTGAAATAAGGTCACCTTACATGGGTCCACCACAGAAGCATGTTTCACGTTTCTCACGTCTAGTCTACATCGGCTCCATCCTGGTAGTTTGGTTTGTGATCTAAGATTAGCGGCTGGTTAGCTCAATTGGTAAGTCACCAGTCCTTCAAACAGAAAGCCTGGGTTTGTATCCCAGCTGCTAGTGTGGGTCCTTACTACCCCATTTACACTACCCTCGAAAAACTGATCCAATGCCGAGAGACCAGGCCGAGCTCGGTTCTGACGACCGTTTACACATCACGCTATCTCGGTTCCTCGTGACGATCGGCGGTATTACTGTCAGTATTTAAGCAGGAAATCAAGCAGTTGGTGGCGGTAATGCACCAAAAGCTGTTTGCCAACCGCCAAAAAACACAAGAAGAAGGAGGGAATCAAGCCTGTCACATTCAGAAAGTTATGCTTGATTATTATTGCTGTACTTCGGTGTTTGCGGAGGGTCAGGCGAAAACGGCAAAATATTTAAAATGTTGCGTAAAGAAGATTTCGATTGTTGTTTATAGCTGTTCTTCTTCTTGTGTTTTGTGTTGGTTGGCAATCAACTTCCGGAGGGGCATTACCGCCAACTACTGGAATGGAGTGTGAATCGGGATGCGCAGCCAGACGGAGATGACGCGTTCTGCTCATGCACTCTTGTTATCAGAGAACCGATCCAGGAAAAAACCGAAAGTTATCTCAGTTACTGAGCTCGGACTGGTCTCGGCACAGTTTTTCAAGGGTAGTGTAAATGGGGCATAAGTCTGCTTTGGGGAGTGGCGGCCTAGTGGTTTGGGCATAGAGCTTGGAATCCTGAGTTTCTGAGTTCAATAGGAATAGTAGTTGCAGCCCCACTCCCAGGGACTGCCTCTGGGTCCCTGAGCAAGATCCTTAACCCGGACACTGCTCCCCGGGTGTTAAGTTGTAAGTAGCAGACTGTGCATGTATGAGATGTAAGGAATGGGAGGCGGGGCTAGATCTGGGTTTTCCTTCTTCATGGAGTTGAATGATGAGCGCGGGAGCGCATGTTGTAAACTGTTAATGGCGACCATTAAAGTGTGGATATTAACGTCAGCAGTGTGATTATTGAGCCAACATTGGTAGCAGAGGATGGCCGCTGCTGGAAATTACAAAGTTCCCCCACCGTTCGACGAGAAGACGTCTTACGAAAGTTGGAAAAATGAAATTGAAATCTGGAGACTTGTTACCGACTTGGACAAAAAGAAGCAGGCCCTGGCGGTTACCCTGTCGCTATCAGGAAGAGCGAGAGAAAGCGCGCTGGAAATCGCTGCGGAACATCTCAACGTCGATACAGGAATGAGTGTTCTTTTAGACAAGTTGGATTCAGTGTTTTTAAAAGAAGAAAAAGATCGACAGTACGAAGCTTACACGGAGTTTGACCGGATCGACAGACGCGGCGAGACGTCCATGATGGATTACATTATCGAATTTGAACGACGGTACAACAAGTTACGTAAGTTCAAAATGGAACTACCGGATGCAGTGTTAGCATTCAAGCTATTAGACACCGCGGGGCTAAACGTTAAAGACAAACAGCTAGCTCTTACCGCCTGTTCCACTGTAACTTTTGACAACATGAAATCGGCTTTGAAAAGAATCTTCGGTGATAATGTCTATCCTCCACAAGAGGGCGACTCAGCCTTTTTCACCAAATACACAGGCAAGCGTGAACGGAGTTCAAACTCAGAGCAAAGCTCAAGAACAGCTGCAGGGACTAATCCACTCGACAAATACGGGAGAAGAACTAAATGTGCAATATGTCAGAGCACTTTTCACTGGGCAAAAGACTGCCCCAATAAAAGAGAACATGTGAAGCTAACAAATGTTGAGGGATCAAAAGACAACGTTGAGGAATGTAATATTACTCTGTTTTCAGACGAATCCACATCTGACACACAGATCTTCATGGTAGAAGCTTTGGGATCTGCTGTGATTGACACTGCCTGTACAAGAACTGTGTGTGGTGAAAAATGGCTTGCAGATTATGTAAGTGGATTGCCTCAGAGAGAATTAATGAAGATTAAAGATGAAAAAATTGCAAGACCTTTCCGGTTTGAGGATGGAAAACTGGTGCAATCCACAAGAAAGGTGACTATTCCTGCAACAATAGGAAAAACTAAATGCAACATTGAGACAGAAGTAGTTCCAGCAGATATACCGATGCTTTTGAGCAAAACATCACTGAAGAGAGCGAGTGCTGTTTTAGACATTGCTCAAGACAAAGCAATGATGTTTGACCAACCTGTAAAACTTGAACTGACATCTTCTGGACATTATTGTGTAAATTTAAGAAAGGAAAGGATCAATAATGAAAGCCAGTTTAAACAAAGTGAGACACCAAATGATGAAGATGAAATTCTCATTGTGACAGAAATGGCAACAAAAGAAAAAAAAACAGTACTGCTAAAGCTACATAAACAATTTGGACATGCCGCAGTTGACAGACTACAAAAGCTCTTATCTTGCTCTGGCAACACCGATGATGAAAGCATTACAATCCTGAAGGAAATTGTAAAAAACTGTGAAATATGCATCCGGTACAGTAGAGCAAAACCTAAACCTGCAGTGGGTTTACCCATGGCTTCAACGTATACGTATAATGAAACTGTAGCGATGGACTTACATGAGCTTGAGCCAGGTTTGTGGTATCTACATGCCATCGACCATTTTACAAGATTCAGTGCAGGGAGCATCATCACCACAAAAAGACCCAAAGAGATAGTGAAGCACTTTATTCACTGCTGGATAAGCGTTCATGGCCCACCACGCAGATTATTCACTGACAATGGAGGTGAATTTAACAACGAAGAAATAAGAGACATGGCTGAACATTTTAACATTGAGGTTAAAGCCACTGCTGGATACAGTCCATGGAGCAACGGCCTACTGGAAAGACACAATCAGATTCTCACTGAAATGCTACTCAAGGTAAAGAGAGACAACAAATGTGACTGGAAAATGGCTCTGGACTGGGCTTTGATGGCAAAAAACAGCATGCACAATGTACATGGCTACAGTCCATATCAACTTGTTTTTGGTCAAAACCCAAACCTGCCTTCAGTTCTAATTGATAGACCTCCAGCATTGGAAACTGATGTCAACACATGGATGGGTCATCACACTGCAACACTGCATGGCATGAGAAAAGCCTTTGCTGAGGCTGAATGTTCTGAGAGGATCCGAAGAGCCCTCCGAAAACAGCTGCGACCCACAGATGACAAATATGAAACAGGAGACAATGTCTATTATAAACGTACAGACTGTCAGGAGTGGAAAGGGCCAGGTGTGGTTATTGGCCAAGATGGTGTAGTAATATTCGTCAGGCATGGTGGAACGTATGTCAGAGTACACCAGTCTAGGCTGAGAAAAATGAATGAGACACAAGAGAAACTAGGGGAAAGCGAAAGCAAAAATCCATTTAAAACGGATGACCACTTTTCAAAGACACCAGCAGCGGTACTTGATGAAGAACTTGACTTTGAAAGTGAACATGAGGAGGAGATGGCACCAACAAGCAATGAATCACTTGGTGTTGCAGAAAACAGTGAATCCTCCTGTGATCCAGTACAACCTGAAGGGGATGGTCTTCCACTGACACACACAACTGTAAGTGAAGGAATAAAACTAAAAGCTGGACAAGGAATTAAATTTACAGACAAAGAAACAGGTCAAAAATATGCTGGAAAAATAACAAGCCGTGCAGGGAAAGCCAGTGGGAAACACAAAAACTGGTACAACCTAGAATATACTGAGCCAGAGGAAATTGCTGGATCTACAGGATCCATTGATATGGGACAAGTAAGCAACCTCGAAGTGGTTGAAAATGTCAAGACCAATACTTACAACAGAGATGAAATATTAGTAGTGAACGAGGATATTTTCTCACACGCTAAACAAACTGAACTTGAGAACTGGAAAAGAAACAATGTATTTGTGGAGGAAAAAGATGAAGGTCAGAAATGCATATCAACGAGGTGGGTGTGCACACTCAAGAAAACACAAGTAGACATAGTACCCAAAGCAAGACTGGTTGCAAGAGGCTTTGAAGAAATTAACATTCAAGAACTTCCTAAGGATTCACCCACTTGTTCCTCTGAATCTCTAAAGATGGTTATAGCTGTTATATGCCAAAATAAATGGAAGCTGAACTCTATGGACATCAAAGCAGCCTTTTTGCAAGGTAAAGATTTAACACGGGATGTGTATCTCCGTCCGCCTCAAGAGGCAGAGAGCGAAGGAATCGTATGGAAATTAAATAAATGTGTCTATGGCCTGGCAGATGCTTCCTTGTTCTGGTTCAACAAGGTGAAAGAAACCATGCAGAAGCTGGGAGGAACTGTGTCAAAAGTTGATCCAGCTGTCTTCTACTGGCAAGATGATTTCTGTAAGGTGACAGGAGTTCTTGCATGCCATGTAGATGACTTTGTATGGGGTGGTTCAGACATGTTTTCTTCAGCTATTATCCCCCAACTGAAAACTGCTTTTCAAGTTGGAAGAGAAGAACATAACAGCTTCAACTACATTGGAATGGAGGTTCATTCTCTGCAGAATGAAATCAGAGTACAACAGCGTGCATACATTAAAAACCTACAGCCCATTCCTATGGATCCCATCAGAGCACCACAGCGGGAGGCTCCATTAACAGACACAGAAATGGACATGTTAAAATCCAAGATTGGACAGATTCTGTGGGTAGCAAGACAGAGCAGACCTGACATCATGTGTGACATATCTATCTTGGCGTCAAACACAAAACATGGTACAATTCAAACATTACACTCTGCAAACAAACTGATCAGAAAACTTAAATCTGAGGAAGTTACCCTTAGATTCCAATGCTTGGGAGACAGCAAATACCACAAGCTAGTGGTGTTCAGCGATTCCTCAATGGGAAATCTCTCAGATGGAGGGACACAAGGAGGACATTTTGTCATGCTGATGGGAGAAGATGGAAAATTTTCACCCATATGCTGGCAATCCAGACGGATTAGGAGAGTGGTACGTAGCACGTTAGCTGGAGAGACTTTAGCACTAGCAGATGGAATTGATAGTGCCGTCTTTCTTGCTACACTCTATTCAGAGCTCATGGTTGGTGATGGCACGCGCAACATCTTACCCATTACCTGTGTAACGGACAACCATTCCCTCCTTGATGCTGTCAAATCCACAAAATGTGTAACTGAAAAGAGACTCCGGCTTGAGATCAGCAGCATCAAAGAACTTATGGGTTCTGGGACAATCCAAGAAATTATATGGACACCTACCAAAGACCAACTTGCCAACTGCCTAACAAAAGTGGGGGCGTCTGCCCTTGGACTGCTGAGAGCCCTAAGTGAAGGGAAATGGCAACTTAAAGATTAAAACAAACAAAAGACTATTGTTCCTTACATAAGTTAAGTTCAAGTAAATGTAGTTAAAATAAATAAAGTGACTATTGTTCCTTACATAAGTTAAGTTCATGTAAATGGAGTTAAAATAAGTAAAGTTAGAATGCTAAAATTTCTTTAGCCTGTTATGTGTTCTTTAAAGAAAGAGGGGAGATTGTTAAGTTGTAAGTAGCAGACTGTGCATGTATGAGATGTAAGGAATGGGAGGCGGGGCTAGATCTGGGTTTTCCTTCTTCATGGAGTTGAATGATGAGCGCGGGAGCGCATGTTGTAAACTGTTAATGGCGACCATTAAAGTGTGGATAATAACGTCAGCAGTGTGAGATCCTTAACCCGGACACTGCTCCCCGGGCACTGCACAATGGCAGCCCACTGCTCCCCAAGGGGATGGGTTAAATGCAGAGAGTTCATTTAGCTGAAAATAAAAAAACAAAAAATAAATAAATGGAATAACTTCTACAATTACATTTCCACACCATTCTGACTGCTGCTGCAGTTCCATCTCTATTCTGTTGCTTCTAACAGCTCTCTTCTCGTTGAGGAGAACCTTTTCTCAGGGTTGATCCAGGACTTGTTATGTTATGTGGTCCATGAAACGGTTTGTAAAGCTATCCATGGTCTCCCAGTAGGGAGCAGGCCTCTGCCATCTGATTGAGTCCTGCTGGTTCCAGACTTCCTTCATCTACCAATAGCGAAGGCCTCTGGACTCACTGGGACCTTCAGAGCATCAGAAGTTTCTGGATCCTTCCCCCCCAGCTTGGTTTCTATAGACCACTACATTCCCAAAGTTGGGGTCATGACCCCACTTTGGAGTCTTTGATCAGCCAGTATGGGCTCTTGGATCCACTACAGAAGTTAAACAATAAACATAAATGTTGAAGTGATTGCAAAAATATAAAGGCAATGCTGAAGATGTAAAATGTTACAACGTGCCTCAACAATCAAAGAAGTATGATCATCGATGGTGTTGAAAAGGTTGTTACGTTTTCAGTATCTTTGGTCCTGAGTCGACTCTGGTACAATTTGAGGGTCAGAAGCTGAAAAGTTTTGGATCGTCTGCAGATGGTTGCTCTGACTTCCTGTTGTTTCCTCTCTGACATCACGGTCTGCTGTAGTAATATAACGGTTAAAGTTATGACTCCAGTTTAACTTATTTGGCTGCTGTTATGATGCAGGGAGGTGAAGATTAGAGGCATGTTGATCCAGAATAAATCATTTCTATTTCTGTTTCCTCTTTCAGCCACAGCTCCTCTACCCCAGTCCTTGGTGGTGGTCCCTTCTGTGGAGCCCAGCCTCTCCAAGAAAACCGATGTGATTGATCTGACGCTAGAAAGCTCGTCTGATGATGATGATGTGAGCACGACCCCCCCGCCTAAGAAACAGTGCGTCTACATCTCCAAGACGGAGGAGATGCATGCAAAGGGGTGAGCTGCTGTTTGCTAGATTTTTACTCATGAATCCTTACTTTTTTTTTTTATCAGATACTTTAAAACAAATGTTTGCATGATGAAAAAAGCCAGCTCTAAAAAAACGATGTTTAAAAAATAAGGCGCCCGAAGAAGGAATCTAAAATGTTATTTTCGAGATAAGATTTTCTTCCATCTATAAAACCAGAGGACCAGTAGCTTCAATGAGCCGTTCTGCTTTGAGTTAAATGAGTGTTTCCCACATTTATGGATTCTATTTATGCTAATATTTTCTTTATAATAATCAGATTTTTTATTTTTTTTTTGCAAAATAGATTCGCTAAACAAAAAGAAAAATAACCGGCCAAGATCTTTAGTATGTTGCTGGTTTTAAATTTGTTTGGAGAAGAAATGTTAGACATGTTTGTCCACCTTAAATGTTCTGTGGAGGTTTTTGGTGATTTAGTGCTAGATTAAAGGAATAGTACACCCAAAACATGATTAGCCTTCATTTTCTACTCACCCCCATGCTGAACAACACTCTGGAGTACTTTTTTGATATCTCAAATGCATCTGGAGATCTGGGAGGCTTTAGAGCATAAACAGTAGTGTATAGGATTTCCTAAAAGCGCGTTCACGAGTCTACGGAAACCGCGGCAGACCAAACCAGATGAAAGTGCGCATTCAGCGTCTGCTCTGCCGATAATGCAAGCGTAGAAGAAGAAATGTGCTGTTTACCTGTGCAAAGAAAGAAACAACGAAAGAAAAATGTCTGAGGACTTCAGTGTTGAGGAAGAGCATGAGTTCTTTGCCGAGCTGAATGCGCACTTTCATCTGGTTTGGTCTGCCGCGGTTTCCGTAGACTCGTGAACGCGCTTTTAGGAAATCCTATACACTACTGTTTATGCTCTAAAAACCTTCTAAATGACTTCGTTTCGAGTAAATTATGGACGCTACCCACTCAGGACACTTGGAATACATTGGACGAGCAGTATGGAGGAATATTGACACGTTTTTTGTGGACTTTTATGGACCTTTCTGCCTCGGGCGCCATAGACCTCCATTATTTGAATGTCAGCAGACAGCAAGAAGCCTCCCAGATCTCCAGATGCATTTGAGATATCAAAAAGGTACTCCAGAGTGTTGTTCAGCATGGGGGTGAGTAGAAAATGAAGGCTAATCATGTTTTGGGTGTACTATTCCTTTAATGCAACATATTCTAACTTGGTCCACATAAAGTGGACCGGATCAGCAACGCTCTCATAAGAACATAATCTGTTCCTGCAGCAGATTAAACTAAATTACAAACATAGTTTGTAGTTAAGTTGTAGTTTAGTTTCATGGTAAATCTCTTATTTCACCTGCTCTGCTGGATTAGAGCTTCTTCAGGTGGAGAGAAACGGTTCAGCACCTGGAGGGAGGACTGATGCCTGGAGATGAATATTTTCACACGTAAAGAATAAAAAAGCAATCTTTATCAGACGGGTTTCTAACTCTGTCGCCTCCTGAACGTTGGCTTCATTTTCTCTCCTGTAAACTCCTGATGCTCATGAGAGAGGCGTTTGGGATCCAGGATCAGTTCAGACAAGATCTTAGATTCAGCAGAAGGTTAAGGAGAACTTGGAGTCTTCATCACTTAGCAGCAGCTGTGGGTCTGGTTCTCTTGGTCCGGTTCTGATCCATCAAAGCTTTTTCTGTTTTATTTCCTGAACTTTTGGTTTGATATTTGTGCCGTTTGTCCTCCAGAATGAACCTGATGTTCAACAGAAGCGATGAGCTTTATGTGTGATCGGCTCAAAGCTGAGAGAAACTGACCACATTAAAGAATTTTACAAATTAGTATTGGAATGTAAAAAGCTAAACTAGGGCTGAAACTATCGGATTAATCGATTATTTAAAAATTCGTTAACTAATTTGGTAATCGATTTATCGTTAACTGGAGTAAAGAATCTCCAAAGCACCCCGTTCTGAGCGACCCACTCAGAGCAGTAATTATACGACAAAATATATAAATATTTTGCATATAAGATAAAACGTTTTTGTCTGTCAGTATTCTCTATCCAGAACTCCACAAGTAGAAATGTTTTAGTTCCAGAAATTCCTCTTTTGTTCCCATAAACTAAACCTTTCATGATCAATGAGGCTTGTGCAACTTTAATGTTACGAAAAATAAAAGTTAAAGTGTTGCTTAAAAAAAACATAACAAAGTAAATGAACTTTGTTACGTTTTTACTTTAATTTACACCTCTGCAGGTCCTGCTGATGTAAAAACTAAAAATATACTGAGCATGTTTTCAGCTAGTGCTGCTTAATAATTCGCTACATTATTAGTAATTGATTCGGGATCAATAAAAAAAAAAATCAATAAAAAATGTGGTTTTCATAACCGACAAATTTGATTAATTGATAAAATGGACTTCAAAATGAGCCCTCGTTACTGTATAGGCAACAACACATGAAATCGAACATCTACTGTCTCCACATGCTGATCCAGGAGAGTCCTAGCCTCGTGAGACCATCCTGATCTCACAAGCTTTCAAGGTTTCACTCGCAGATCAGTCTGGAGACTCTCCGTTAAAGAAAATTTGGAGCCGTTCACCAAACGAACGTCCAATCAGCGTTGGCTTTGAGGCGGGTTGAGGTGTGACGCAACGAGAAGCGCGACAGTTCAGTCTAAAGAACATGGCGGCTTCAGCCGATGAAACTAGCGTTAGCGTGGCTATCGAGCAAGTTTTATCGGCATTACAGAGTATTTCTACACTGAAAGAAGAGCAAAACACTGCTCTGGAGGCTTTTCTCAGAGGAAAAGATGTTTTTGCTCTTCTCCCGACTGGTTTCGGCAAGAGTTTGATCTATCAATTGGCTCCTCTTCGTCGTCGCTCTGTTAGTACGTCATATGCTTCGTTGATCTGATTGGTTTATTTGGCCCGTCTATCACCAACATAGGCCAATCAGCTAACCAGTATTTTCGCCCCTTCCCAAAATTACTTCAACCGAAGGTTTCCAGATGGATATGCGAAGCAAATCCATCTGGTGGAGTCAGGTTAGGAGAGTCCATAGCTAGATGCAATCAGCTGCTTTTCCTCAGAAAACTGAAATCCAACCTTTCTGGATGATCTGATTGATCAGGTCACATGTGTTCTGGATTGGTTCTATTTAAATAAACTGAATTGAGGTTAATTATGTCCCACAAACACCTGCTGTGTCTTCTATCTCTGATCTCACCTTCTGCAGTTCCTCAAACTGTTTCCTGGATGTAGGAAGGTCTCTGAGAATACTTAAAACACTGCATCTGTGATGTGTGGTTGACTGTAACGCAGACCTGTGACCAGTTGTCTGTTTCCTGCCAGTGTGTTGACCTACCAGCCGTCTGTGCGCCTGCCCAACGTCCCCAGCCTGGAACAGACGTACCTGAGCTCGGCGCTTGCCGAGTACGCCTTTCCCATCCACTCGTCCACCCTGGCCTCCATCCCTACAGAGATGCAGAGTAAGTCCGTCAGACGTCTGCACCAGAAATCCCTCAGAACTTTCACTAATGACCCTCTTCTGGTTCTGACCCACAGGTCTGGATTTGTTTTCATTAATTCCAACAGAACCTCAGGTGAGCTCACTGTTTTTCTCATTCAGGTAGTTTTTACCAAACAAACATGGAGGCGATCTCCCGACGGTCGCAGTCGGCTGAGGGTGATATGAAACCACGGAAGGTGGGTTCTGAAGTGTTAGCCTGGATCAGAACCAGGTCGATCTTAGAAATGCAACAAGAAACCAGACCAGCTGACAATTTATTGAAATTAATAAACTGAAATATGACATTTATCAGCTGAATAATCGTCCGTCTTCCTGGTACCCGCCCAGAACCTTTACCCAGTCTTGTATCAGTGTGGCGCTGGCAGGTTAATACAGCCTGGGTATTATGGGATGTCCTCTCTGGACCGCTGCCCTCAGGAAGCTCGGGGAGAACCGTCAGAACATGGCGTAGTTCATATGAGTATTTATTACACATGTGAACTTTAGGCGGAAATCTGACGCCATACTTCAAAATGTTGTTTTACTAATTTAAAGCTCTTTTTTTAAAACCTCTTCTGGATCCTTCATAACAACACAGATGATTCTGATCCTGGTTCTGATTCCCTGTCTGTTGGAGGAAACCTTTGATCTATGTGGAATGTTCTGAACGGATCTACCAGGAAGGGGGATCTCGCGTCTGTTTTCAAGACAGTTTTTTGCTTCTAATCACAAACAGGATGAAGAAGCGCTAAATGTTTGGACCATTTTTACAGCTTCTTAGCTTATTAAGCTGCTCCAGTAAACCTGAACCACCAAGGAAATGTTGAGAACTTTATATTTGAGAACATTACTGAACACGTCACATGAGTTAGGATAATTGTGACCGTACGGAAAGCCAGAAATGCCATAAATATATTTCTGTTTGTGGTGTTGCCAACTCAGCGACTTTGTCGCTATATTTAGTGACTTTTCAGACCCCTCCAGCGACTATTTTTCAAAAAAGCGACTAGCGACAAATCTGGCGACTTTTTACGGTGTCGCTGGCGGCTTTTGGAGACTCTTACGTGAAAGCATGTATCGTTCCTACTCTTGTCCTCCAGCAGCAGCTGCTGCCGTGGGGCGCCGCCCCCATCCCAACCCCATTCTCCCGCAGGAGTCCCTCTCAGCGCTGCAGTCAGAGCCGCAGGATGTTTACCCTCAGCATCCAAACTGCAAATGAAGCGCGCATGTGCCGGGATTGACGGAGCAAATTGATCACGCGGTGTAAATGTAAAATGTTATTTGGTCTAAAATAATTTAAAATATTTTATCTTAAATAAATAACAGCATTTGATTCACACAGCCACAGTCAGAGAGGAAAACACAATGGACAAGGTGATTAAGTGACTAAGATTAACATTGATCTGCTGGTGAGAATCATTATGTCTCAGTCTAAACTGTACAGTCAAAAATACAGAAAAGAGTGGGAATCAAACCCTGAAAAAAGTAGCGCTATATATTGTTTAGTAAAGTGAGTAAAAACACTATTATATCATGTTTTTACTCACTTTTTGTCTTTCTGTAACGACATTATTTCTCCCACAGCATCATTAACATGCACATCACTTCCTGTGGCAGATTATGCTAATTATGTAATGACGTCATTTAGCGACTTTTAGCACAGCCGATAGCTACTTTCCTTACTGAGGAGTTGGCAACACTGTGTCAAAGTGTCACTGTGACTGAAGCACATGCAACACATTAATAGGTCATTTATTCTTTTTAAAATTTAGCTTATTACTAGTTGGTAGATATGTATTTTAATGTAATGGCAATATGCCAAATGCATCATTAATTATTTTAGCTCTTGCTTCACATATCTAAATAATTTTTTCGAGCATATTGGATATTATGACTTGGAGTAATAAGGTGATCTGAAGCTGAATGTCATTAAGAGTATCAGAAGCTAAAACTGTCACTTAGAAATCTTCATCTGGTTTTTTAGGCCTTATTTCAGCAGATATTTGATTTAATTTTAATGAGATTCCTCTGTTAAAGATGGGCCCTGTGTGTCTGCACCTTGACGCTCCCGTTTTTTTTCACTCGGGAAAAATTCTTTAAATAACACTTCATAACTTCTATGTATTAAATGACCAGGAGACATTAACAACCTTTGATCAATAAAGAATTTAATTTATATATGTGGCATATAAGAATTTGATAGGTTTAGGTTAAACCTGGGGTGGGCCAGTCGAGGCTGTCATCTGGCCTCACTTAGACCTAAGCACATAATTAAACATCGTCAATCAACACCTTTCTGAGTAGCCAGCTACCTTTCAACTGTTTTAAAAAAAAAAAAACATTTTTTTATGGATCTAAAAGGTGGGGCTCCAGTGTTATTTTTGTTTTTTTTTAATAGATGACAATCCTTAATCTTTGACCTCCCTCAGTCAACATGGAGGCTGCTACAGCATCTCTGTCTGCAGTCTGACGGCGGCAGGTTTAGGTTTAATCTGTGGCCATGATAGAAAAAAGCTCGTAAATCTGCCTTTCAGTGACTAGAACCTACCAGTAAATAAATAAAGCAGGACCTGAGCGGGCAGTAATGGATGCTCCTCTGTCTACAGTGCTGGAGCCGCCTTATATCCCCCAAACACTACAATGGCAATAACTTGTGTAATGTGCAATTTACCTTTTTTATACCATGCGCAATAACTGTTTGTCTATATTTGACACCCAGTGCAATAACTTTATATATATAAATACCTATCCATATAAATACCAGTGTAAACACCCTGTGCAATAACCCAGTATATGATTCTACTGTTTATAAAACATAAAATAATAAAAGGAAGCCATCATATGTGGACCCACTATATATACTGTTTGGCACATTCTTCTCCTTTGACTATTTTAGCTGATGTAACGAGTAAATATCTCTACTGTGAGATCAATAAAGTCCATCAATCAAACACCAGACGTCACTCAGGCTGAATCTGGTCGGTTCATCATAAATTTAGTCCAGTAATAGTTTTTGAAAAACGGGCTGTTTTTGGTCGGACTGATTTTGTCCCACTTTAGTCGAAAAATGGACGTTAAAAAGATCTTTTCAATGATCTGAAAATGACATCTTTTCAACCAAATGTAGACATCGTTTGGACGTAAACCCTGTCGTTTCGATGTCTTTTCAACCTGTTTTTGTTTTATTGGGTTTGTTACTAGTGAGTCATTTTGTTTGCTCACTGTAAAACAGATTGCCTTAAACTATTTATTGACTCAATTATTAGGTTGATTAGAAAATCCAAATATGACTTGTTTTTAAAGTACCATGGAAGTTAACCTTTTTAAAGTAGTTTTATTCTGTAAACTGAACTTTAGGCCATTATGTTTCCTACATTCAAATCTTTTTTTTAATACATCAATTGGACCTATTAGTACAGAGTGGATTTTCTCTTTTTTTTTTAAATGATCAATTCAATTCAGCTTATTTATATAGCGCCAAATTCACAACACAGGTCGTCTCAAGGCACTTTACAGTTCAACCAGATCATCCAGTCAGATTGATACAAAGTTTTCTATCTAAGAAAAACCAGTTGATTGCATCGACTCATTGACTCGAATACAATCCCTCACACTAAGCATGCTTATAGCGACAGTGGAGAGGAAAAACTCCCTTTTAGCAGGAAGAAACCTCCAGCAGAACCAGGCTCAGTGTGAGCGGCCATCTGCTGAGACTGACCGGGGTTAGAGGAGACAGAAGCTTTAGCATGGAAAATTTTTCAATCTGCAATCCTGTAATTGTTAAGTGACAATATTCAACAATCCACTGTGATGCAGCATTAAACCGTCCTCTTTAACCCATTAGCATCTAACTAACTCACATTGTTCCATTGTCAAAATCTGCTCAAACACTTCATTAGAGTGAAGGGGTTCATTCATTAAAATCTCTTTAATTTATATGCAAATAATTCAGACTAATCCATGTACATGGAGAAAGTGAAACCTGTAACCCAGCCTCGACACATTTAGGTTAGCAAAGTTTTTACAAAATGAGTTGTAATGTCCAAAAAAAACTCTAGATATTCCCTTGAAAGACGTTAGCAGATGATGCAGAGCTGTTCCAACCAAACGGTTTACATGTGCGACGAGGTCTTAGTCGTGACTTAATGTTGACTTTGTATCGGTAGTTAATATATTGTGGAGGTAGTGAAAGGAAATAAACTGAGATTGCTGTATTACCCTGAAATAGCTGAAAGTCAGAGATGTGAATCTATGTTTTTAAGAAATTCTTCTTCCTCTCAGCATTTCAGGTCTCAGATGTATTTGGAAAACCTTTCAGGCATCCAGAGCAGCGTAGCAGCTGGAAGCAGCTCCGCTCTGGTCTCCTCCAGCTCCAGCAGCAGCAGCTACAACACCAGCAGCCACACGGCCTCCATCCATGACACCAGAGGGGGAGGGGGGCGCTCTGGAGATGTGACCGGAGGTAGCCTGTCGGACATTATCTCACTGGACTGAGCCACGTTCTTCACACCTTCTCCAGGCTTCCTGTCAGACTCTTTCCATGCTGAACCTCTCTGGTGGACCTCATCCTTCTCTAAGAGAGGAAACATCCAGATGTTGACATCTGTCATTTAACCGTGCCTCATATTCAAAGGTTCTGATTAGGAGGGACGTCCCGGAAAAGCTGGTTTCCTCCAAGGACGGTGAGGAAAAAACAGAATCTGTGTTTAATATAAAATCAGCTGAGCTAATGACAAAACCAGAGCGAGAGAACCCCAACAGAACCAGACTGGGCTCCAAACATCTCCATACTGGAAACACAAACTGGGGGGGGGGGGGGGGGGGTTATTTATTGATGTGGGAAAATGGAAACGGATACCAGCAGTGACCTGAGCTCCTCTTTCTGCCAATAAATCAGATCAGAGTATTGATCATCATAATCGATTGATCAATAAAGACTCTGCAAAAAAGCAAAAAAAAAAATAGTAGAAATCAAAATAAGCAATTTTTTTTCTTAAAGTGCATTTTTTTTTCTTGAACTGAGGAGGAAAGTGAAACATCTTGCCAATGGAACAAGACAACTTGCATTGACAATAAGATACAACTTACCAACTCACATCAAGGGTAAATGTGCTTAAATTATACTTATTTAGATGGTATCTGCATTGTGATGACATCATCGATTTTATGTCGTTTCAAGGCAGCAGAAATCCCAAACCTCGCTGCAACCGTTGGTTAGTTTTTCATAACTTTAAAATGTATGTTCAGGCAGGAAAATCGTGCAGGACCAGCAGCTAAGGACTGGATGGTCTGCATCCAGGAAATGATTTATTTCCTCCTTTCTGTGAGCGAATCTTAGAAAAGAATCCTTTAAATCAAAAAGACTCAACTGTTTACTTTAATACTGATTTCGATCTATTTGTCTTTGGTTTAAAAAAAAAAACTTTTTAATGTTCAAAGTTTAAAGGTAAAAACTTTTTTCTTTGAAATATTTTAATATCCTAAATTCTAATATGCAGATGATAAAAGCCCCAGTAAAACCAGTTTAAATGAAACCAGTTAACCAGATACCAAACCCTACAAAATCTGAAGTTGTTTATTTAAATATGAGGAATAATTACAGCCCTTTTAGCTCTGTGCTGCTCAGAGGAAATCATGGGATGTTTAGTCTTGCTTTTGTTTTTCTATCATTTAGAGATGGTTTTTGTATTAAACACAGCCATGTTTCCATGTTTCTATTTGTTGCAACTCCAGAAAGATCCTCATCAGATGTTTGGACGCTTCTGCTTTAACTTCAGTTTCAGGATGAAAGCTCCTTATGAACTGAGATGTAAAATAGTTGATCTGGATGTTGGAAACCAGATTCACCCTGAAATCGGAGCGGTTCTGAAAGAAGCGGCTCACTGAGGCCCTTCTGCAGGTTCTGTTGGCTGAAGCCGGATTCTTTTTTGTCATAAAGCATCAGATCCATGTTAGGTCAACCAAAATACCAACATGCATAACTGGATCCTCAACACATCATGATCCAAAGGAACTCAGAAAGGACCGGTTGGACAGTTCTGATCCAGATCATGATTTCATGGACCTGCCGAAGAAACTGGTCAAACATCTCGGCTTCATGTGAGGAATTGGACCAACGTTCCTCAGACCACTAACCCTTCACTGAAGGAATCTGAACCTAACAGGCTGAACCCACATGGTCCAAACATCTTTTTTCCTGCTACTAAGGATACATTTTTCTTTTTCAATTACCTAAATAGTCAATGGTTCTGGTTTTTAAATAACTTTTTATAACTGTATGGATCGGTTCTGCTGTTAGAAAAGTTCATGTTGAAAAAATCTGTAAACCTTTTTTATTTTACTTTATTAAACTTTTTAATCCTTTTATTCACAATTCATGATTTCTGATTTATTTATGGATTAAACCTCAGTTCTAGACTGGGGAGAACCAGTCTGGAACTTTCCTCCGGTCCAGTCTGCTCCGTCATTCCTGTAGACGGCGTCACTGCTGTGTCTCCAGGTTAGTTATTGGAGGTCAATCATTCTATTAAAAGTTAAACACATTCTAAAAGTTTTCATTTAGTGAAATTCCTTCTAACATATCAAACTCCATCCTTCTCACCTGCATCAGAAAGCAGATTTCTGTTAAGTATTCAGTTTTGGGTCTGTTTCAGATAGTCGGAGTTCTTCTTTTCTGACTTCCTAATCAGAGTTTTCTGTTTCAAAACAGATGATGTCAATAGAAACTAAAGAACTCTTAAGTTCACCTCATGTAGAGACATCATCAATGAAATGCAGAAATCATGATTCACCATGTCAACAGCAGCTCAATAAGTGCATTTAACCCCTCCCCCTGAGGAGCAAACAGGGGGGTTAAGGGTCTTGCTCAGAGCGCCAGTCTTTGGGAGTGGGTTTTGAACTCACAACCTCAGATTTCCAAGCCCTTACGCCACCACTCCCCCCCAGAGTAGGACAGTTATTTCAGTCTGAGATCCAAAGATTTTGATTCAGTGAGATTTAAATATTAAGATTTCTATTAATTTCCCTTTATTTATTTTTTTCAGTTTCATGCATTAGTATCTATCTTTGTCCATTTTAACTTTTTTTTAATATTCAGTTTATATATGAGCAGCACTTTGGTGTTATTGTAGGGTATTTACATATAAAACATATAAATGTAGCATTTATAAATTAGATGTAGAAATAGGTTTAGACCATCAATACAGATGTTTCTAGCGTTAACATATCATTCAGACTCTCAACCCCATACTGCCCCCCAAGGGGATGGGTTAAATGCAGAAGTAAATTTCTCCCATGTGAAATCAATTAAGTTTAATTGTTATATTTAGTGTCTGCCACAAAAAGTGAGAGAAAAAGCCCTTAATTTGAAAAAAAAGGTAAACAAATGTGATGTCTTTTGCTAGAATCTTATTCATTGTATAATTTGTGCGCACCGAGTGTCTTGGTGCAACATAACAGGCAGTGATTCCCTAAAACTAATGTTTAGCAGGTAATCTTTGCACTACCTACATTTCAAACTGATTAAGTATTTAATTTCTTTATTGCAAAAATATTTAAAGTCCACTGTTATTTTCTAAGCAGACATTCAGAAGAGATTTTTATTTTGAAAAAGATAAAATGCCTAATTGTGCTTCAATCAGCCTATTCTGATGGGAGACATCTTCAGAGCTGCATCCAGAAAAGAAAACCATGTCCAACACTTCCTGGTACAGATCTGAACTTAAAAATATACATTTGACCATTAAGCTGATTAAACACCTCTAGCGGGATATGTTGTCATTTTGCTGTTTTAAAATGTCTGACCTTCCAGCTCACTGCATTAATGCACCAACAAAACCAGAACTGAACAGATATTTCAGGCCTTGAATATTGCTATGCTCAGAACGATTCATATCATCGCTCTGCTGTTTAAACCATTCGTTTATGCAGTGCTTCAGATGTTGGAAGGTTCTGGGTGCTTCTATGAACTCCAAATGTTTGGAAATCTGCCATCATTTCTCCAGGTTCCTCTATCCATGGATGGAAGGACAGCCCCTGCTATGATGCTCCTGTCTGCAGACTTCTTCCTCCTCCTTAAACGGTGTCTGTGATAATATCACCAGAGGTCTGGTCTGACCAGACACCTGATCTGCTGCAGAGAACTTAAAACCAGCATTTTCCTGGAAGCCTCTGCAGCTGAACGTAGTTTTTTCAAAGAACAGCTTCGATTTCAGGTCTTCCTGGAGCTTCTTTCCTCTTAAAACTACAGTGGATTTTGAGTTTTCTGAACCAGATCAGGGACGCGGCCACAGCCTGGTGCAGTTCCCAGGTTACGGTCAAATATTTTCCCATCTAGAAGTTAGTAAAAGAAGCTGTGCAACAAAAAAACTAATCTTTGAAATCATTCTGTTATATATCAAAGCAGCTGGTCCAGATTTGCAGAGCAGCAGAATGGCGACATCAGGTGGTCTGACTCCATCAGTGGATCATTAAGCTGCCCTCTCTAGTTATGTGTGGCTGCCCTCTTGTTTGTATATTTATACCAAAAAAGGCTTTAAATTAGTTTAATTGTTTAGAAATAAATGGCAGTTAACAGCATTAGAGATTCTTTTGTTTGACCCGAATATAAAGGTGGCAGGTTTTAGCTTCAGTTCTGATTTCCAATGGAAACTTGATTTAGAATTACGCACACAGACCCCTATAAAGCATCTAAATAATTAATTTAGAAATCCTTCAGGACAAACAGTGGATGAAGGAATAACCAAGAGCAGCAGCTTTGTCTTAAAATCATCTGTATTGGAAAAAGGTGTAGATATAGAGTATTTAGATGATGCATGTGGAAGTTTACAGCTCAGAGAAATGCAGTAAATTGACGCTCGCTGTTCAGCTCCAGCTTTCCTCTGGTCACATTTATTTTATTTTTTAAAAAATCACTGCTTTCTGGGGACAAAATGAAAAAGTTCAGTTCGTCAAAAAATTTATACATAAGATCTATAATCTATAGATCTATAAACAAGGTTTATAGAAAGGAAGGAAAGGAATACATTTCTCAGAATGTTTCCATCTGACTTATTGTGAGCATCGTGTTTCACTAACTATTATTTTTACATTTGGACTAAAATTAAAGAGTTAGAGAAGACCAGAACATCTTCGAGAGAAACGGAGGAGAGAAGGGAGCCCGCCTCATCCGGACCGCCCGGGAGGGGCCGGGACGCCCCCCCCCTCCCTCACGTGGGCGGCTCCGGGCCTGCAGAGTGGAATGCTGCAGCAGAACAGTGTGGAGAGTGAACAAGCCGGGTGGTTAGAGGTATCGACAGCAGAAACCCGATGAGCGGAGAACAGGAGAACAGCAGAAGAGAGAAAGAAACGGGGCGATGTGCTCGTCGCTGATTAGTCCAGGGGCCGCTTTTCTCCGTGTTTCTTTGTGAATTCTTCAGCATTCTTCAAGAATTTTTTACGGTCCTTTGAGTATTCCTCTGCTAAGTCTGCCCTCAGAGGATGTTCTGGCTGAGGATCGTTGACCAGCGCGATGAGGGACTGAATCACTGCAAGACAAAAAAAAAGATCCAAAATCAGCTTTAAAACAGGACTTTTAATGAAAGGTGGTAGCTTTCACAGCATTTATTATTATTGAACTTTATTGATCTCACATTGGACAAATGTATCTCTGAATTTAACCCATCCCCTTGGGGAGCAGTGGGCTGCCATCACACGGCGCCCAGGGACCAATCAGGGTCTTCCTCAGAGACACAGAGTGGCACTCTGTGGGAGTGGGTTTCAAACTCACAACCTCTCTATGCCCTAACCACTAGGCCGCCACTGTCCTTCAGAAAGCACTGACCAAAAACAGTCTGACTAAACTCAATGAAGTTATTATCTAAACTGCTGCTTTGCATCATCACTAGTGATTATGATACATGAGCAGAGGACATCGGCCGATCCGATGCTACTGCTCAATGAATTAACCGTATAACTTTGCTATG